TCCACGGTCCTTCTCTGGAAATGATTATACATACAATGAACTCCCGACTAGGTGTATTCCTCTAAGTCTTCCTACCAATATGACCAAGTTGCGAAAACAAGGTCAAACAACATTTATACAACGAAAGGAAACTGAGGCAACACAAAAGGACACATCATCTTGGTCTTCATTCCCTTGATTAGAATTGTGTAGAGCTAAAACACTGCCAATTTAAAATAAGCAACTCGCTCCTTATAGATTTAAACATAAATGTATTCGATATCTTTGAAGGATGAAAAAATGAAGATTAAAAGAGTTCTGAGCCTTTAGGTATATCCTCGGAAATAAGCAGAGACCGTCGATTAAATAGAGGCCGACTGTTTTTCTGTTTCTAACCAAGCAGGCAAAGCCAATTGGGCAAAACATCATATTAGATATTATTAAGAGTGAAAAGTAAGAGGTCATTATATAGTATATCTACACATTACACATAAAAAAGATCACTAGAAAACTATCCAAAGCAAACTAGATTGATTTCTATTCATGGTTTAATATATTTGTCTAATTATAAAAAATTTAATTAAACTTGCATGGATAATGTATAGTTAAAATAATAAATTAGACCATAATTATAATTAAATCAGCGATAAATTTGAGTCACTAAATTGACTACAAATTTTTTAATGAAGTGCAACGGATAGCGCAATGAGGGATTCTTCGAATCCCAGTTTTTCTACATACCATAAATAGCTCATTAGTTTGTCCATGTAGTGAATGTCGGTGTTAGATTTATATCATTATAAAATATTAATTCAAACTACAAAATCATCACTAGGCTAAAGCCAAGAAAAAGAAAAAGCAATTAAATCAGATTCCAGAACTGGAATTCGAGGCTTGTTCAGATACCAAAGCAAAATAATCTTATAGAAAAGACTCATCGGAACACTGTGGTTAACACCAAATGCGCTACTTAAAATACACGTAAAGTAGCGTGATATTTTATTAACAAATTTTTAAAGTGCTTGCCTGAAATAGATCTTGCCGGTTTATGAGGGCTGCCAATCTGGCCTGGCGGACCTCATGTTCAGCGTTTGTTGGTGGCTGGGAAAAAAATTCTATCAAATCCTCCAGACATTGGGTAACCTCAGTTAAACTCAGTTGCGAGCTAGCGAGAGTGGAGCCGCTGCCAGGAGACGCGACAGCACTGGCACCCGACGACCCAATGCCTTGGTTAGCACCCGCCTGACCGCCTGTAATGCTGCCGCTTGAAGTATGCATCATTTGCAAATGAGTCTGTATCAGAGCCGCTTGGTGGGGGTTGTTCTGAGCGATTACCATCAAGAGTGCCGGATTGGCTTGAACTTGATGAAGTTGATTTGTGAAGATTACCTCTTCTAAAGCACGAATAAAGTCCGTGAAAACGACCGTCGAACGTCGAATGGCCGCGGCCGATTTCTGTTCTTCGTCCTGACCACGTACAAGACTGAAGACATCGTCCATATGGCCCTCCACCAGAAGCACTGCTCGCTTCTCTTCGAAACGGCCACGACCACGCTTCTTTGTTTCGAATGTTTCGTAAGACAGCCAGCGGCCAGTGGCCACATGTTGTAAATATGCGAGAGTCTCGCCAACACGTAGATCGGGTTCGCCCATCCCTTCCTCTTCATGCTCTTCTCCTCGCTTTTTGTCATCCTGAACAATCGAAAATGACCCCATAAGGGAAAGCATTCAAAAAAATATTAAGTTTAGTTGATCGACATTCAAAGAAACTCTTGTTAACGTACTTGTTTATAAAAAAAATTATCCGTGAAAATCCGGGAGTTATATGGCTCATAGGAAAGAATTACGTACGGATATGGTACGATCTCGAATAGGATAAATGCTTATTAATCCAATAGATATAAATTAATCAGTTGTTGCTGGCACACCTTATATTTAAAAAGGCGGGTGGGATGGATTCGTAGTTTAGCCGCACTAGATACCGGAGGGTATCTTGGGCTTTGTCTGTTGAATTTTGCGAAGAAGACCTCGGCTCACCGTCCTAACAACCCAATGACTTCATGCTGAGCTTTCCTCCGTCATGTGACGGACATCGTCAGAACCAGAAACCATTATTCACAAACAACTAAGAAAGGTATTTCTGATGAATATTCGTGAATAATTGTTACTGGTTTTGAAGACGTCCGTCCCATGACGGAGGAAAGCTCAGCACGGAGACATCAGAGTCGTAGAACGGTGAGCCAAGGCCTTCTTCGCACAATTCAACAGACAAAATCCAAGGCAACCCTCCTTCGGTATCTGGCGAGGCGAATCCACGAATCCCTTCCACCCGCCTTCTCAAAACGAAATAAAATCTAGGCCAGTATCAATCTACTAAGGGATTTATGTATTCACCCAATTTCGTCACGAACACAATACTTAATTCGAAAAATATACTAAGGGATGCTTCCAAACCCAGCTTCTCTTCATTAATCACTTGTTGTGCAGAAAGGCTGGCATTAACAGTGTACAGAATATCAACAAAGGTCTATTATATCCAAGGTCATGTCTGTAATTTCACAAATTTAAGGTGCAGGACGAAGTTGGATAGTGACTAGAAGTATTAGTGTTTGTGATTGCAGCGATAATGAGGCATGAAATAGAGTCGGTGTCTGGGCACGATTAAGCCTAACCGCTGATCACAGTTGGGTAATTATTGAGAATATTAGGGAGAAAATAAGAAGACCAAACTTACCTTGGTCTGTTTGATATAGAATACAGTCGCCTCGGCAGTCGCTTCATGAGGTGCCAATAGGACGACATCGTAATTTTGTTGTAGCCCACCAGGCATCACGTTAGCTGGCATCCCGGCCATCATCATGGCGGCCGCGGCTGCCTGATTTGGTGCCACAGGCTCCGGTGGTGCGATGCCAAGAAAGCGGCCCGTGGTAACATGTCGGAGACGAATCGTTGTGCCCCAGGCGAAGAAGCCAGCCGACCATTTTGTACGCGTGTGGTCTAATCGCCACAGGGAGCGTGCATTTCCACTAGCTGAGCCAATCCCATACATGACCGGGATCCGTTGGCTGATCGTAAAACAGAATTCGACATAACAGGTTTGATAGTTAAATCAGTAAAATCTATGCGAAAACCGACCGTATAAAAGCTTATGACATGATGCAACATGTTCGTGCTGGATCAAAGAATTAAACTCAAGCTGACAATGCTAGAGCTGTATAACCTGATTCAAATAAGATCTTGAGCTTATCTGTCCAGCAAAATAGATTTGATCACATTATTTAAGTTCATTTGAAGGCCTGACAAAGGACCTAAAGATAATTTTTAACAGATAAATGTGGAGAACGATTTCATCGTCTTGTTGGCGTCATCAATTACGGTTGCATGAGGGACAGCGAGTCATTAAGCCAAAGGCTTTTGAACCAATTTATACTCTAGCGTCAGGTACAGGATTAGCATATGTATATTCATATTGTGTAGGATTTCGAGATTATCAATAGATCTTGAATGAAAATTTTAATCACCCCAGTTTGCTTAAGGTGAAGAAGTGACAAAGAATTTTCCCGCAAGGATATCAGTGGGCTTCATGATACCATTGCTTTTCACTTAGCTTTGCCTATGAAGAGGTATCCTTATTCAGGCTGTAATGCAGTTCCGACCTCGCCTGGGTACCATCAGCACTCTAAGCGTGAATCGAATTCGGTTAGTGTAGCCTACAATTTCGACATGATATCATTACGCCACACTGCCACGAGTGTTCCAGTCGGTCATAGAGCAGAAGTAAATTACAGGCTGTGCTAGGCTAATATAATATCGAATTTTTATAATGGTGGGATTTTGCTGAAGCAAATATATCGACAACGTTATTGGTATTCGTAATGAGTAGTATTAAGAGACAATCAGTAAGTATTGAGTAAGAGCTCAAGTCACCCTAGGTCCTTAAAGCAGGTGAAGGACTGATTCGGATTGAAGGTGTTGACGAAACTCGGGAAAGGTCGAAATTGTAGTCCAGCCTGGATAAGAATACCTCTTGGGAATCAAGGCTACGTAAAATGCAATAGCATTGTGAGACCGACTTATGGCATTGCGGAAAAATTTGCTATCACTAATGTTGACTACAGCTCATATTAGTGTGTTTTCCTCTAGGCATCCCGAAAACCCATAAAGTGCAATGCCGAATGCACCCAGCTGTCTACTCAAATAAGTCTGGTAAATGGACCAAACATATATCCCAAAAATATTACAGATGCCCAATTTAAATAAAGTTTGTAGATATGAAAAGTAACTGGGTTTCGATTAATCTCCTGAGATAACATTGTTGGAGAGACGTTCATTTCGTATCAAAGTGTATGAAGAAGAGAATCATAGGTTGATCTCACTAGAAGACGACGGCTAAATCCCGTCGTACTGCAGCCGTTTGGCTTTACTAAGACGTTCATGTTGACGCAGTCCACGGGACATCCCCCCTCGCTTCGGGTGAAAAGTGGCTGAGCTTTCATCCATCATACGATGGACAACATCGGAGCTGGAACTCATTATTGTAAAAGTCTCATGTTAACACTCGGTGAAGAAGACAAACCGGCTCTATCTTACCTCGTATCCATACTCACAACTAAAAACTAAAATAAATAGGAATAGATAG